GCTATTCAGTGCTAGGAGTTCCCAAGTGGAATTTCATCTCTCCAGTGTGTGTGTGTGTGTGTGTGTGTGTGTGTGTGTGTGTGTGTCCACTAATGACCAGCATGCTGGACAAAACTGTGCAGATCAAGCCAAGTTGATGCTGGTCTAATAACGTACTCGTGTACATGACATTCGGCTCCAAAATGTTTCAAACACACCCTCAGACTCTGTTGCCTAGTACATTATTTCCAAGAAGAGCAGGCCTCCAGTCCAAAGGGCCTGCACACTAAGCAATGACGAAATGCACATCTTTCCAGAAAAGAATGAGTAGTTTTCTGTTCCCCCCCTCCCACTGTCTCCCAAGGAGTGAAAGGAAAAGTGGATTAAAGTGCTTGCAAACTTGGAAAGCCACTCACCATACCACAAATTCTGGGAAAGAAGGTATAGAGTTCCAAGTTACTGAATCCTCTGAATGTGAACTAAAGAGGTTAGCCACCAATGGAGAACTGAGCTTAGACTCTGGAGACTAGGAAAATAACTCTGTAGAAGCTGTGAATTATAAACGCTGTTGGGACATCTGAAAGACCCATATAGGGCCCTTCCCTTTCATTCTATATCTCTCAACCAACCTCACTGACTCTCTTTTCAGAAAAAGAAATAGACACACACACTATAAAACAAAAATGAAAAAGCAGGTTTACCCTTCCTTTCACTACATACACAAAAATCCTTGTTTTTCTCATTTCTCATGTTTCCAGGTTGACATTTTGTTGCCTGCAAGCATTTTTAAAAGTAGAGGTTGACTGCGGGGGTGGGAGGGGGTGGGGGGGTGTAGGGGAGAAGGGATGGTGGTCAAAGGTAGCAAACATCTGATGATGTAATGGTGACTATAGTTAACTATTGTATATTTCAAGGTTGTTAAGAAAGTAGATCTTGATTTTTTTTTTTAGATTTTATTTATTTACTTAAGAGAGAGAGTGGAGAGAGAGAGCATGAGGGGGAGAGGGTCAGAGGGAGAAGCAGACTCCCTGCTGAGCAGGGAGGCCTGATGTGGGACTCAATCCTGGGACTCCAGGATCATGACCTGAACTGAAGACAGTCACTTAACCAACTGAGCCACCGAGGCACCCCAGATCTTAAAGTTTTCATCACAAGGAAGAAAATTGTAACTATGTGAGGTGATGGATGTTAATTAGACTCATTATGGTGATCATTTCACAATATATAAATATATCAAATTATTATATTATACCTTAAATGGATACAATGTTATATAGCAATTATATCTCAATAAAAGTAGGAACATTTTAAAATAAAAGTAGTTCATCAGGTCACTTCCTGTTACTTTGTTTTTAAATCATGACCTCTCTAGCTGTAATGACTGGGTGGCAGCCTTAATCAGATGTTTATGGCTGGTTAATGTCATAAAAATTTTGAGCAAAAATGGAAAATGATTCTTACTCTGCCTTACTTGAGCTGTTTCCTCAGCTTCCCCACCATGCTAACTCTTTAAAAAAAATTCTTGTTGCACCTACACAGACCCAATTCAAACCAACCAGTATAAAGGAACACCTAAGTCAAGTGTCCCTCCCACCATCCACTTATCCTTCATTCCCAGTTTTATGAGGCCAGTTGCAACTGGTGGCCAGCTGGAATCCTGGGTGGAAGTAAATTAACTGGAAAAATCAAGTCACTGCTGCAGTCAACCGAAAAAAGGGAACGAATGCCAGTGCAGCGTGGCCCCAGAGCCCAACTCTGGCTGCTGCCTACACAACTCAGAGCACTTTACTCTAAGCAGGAAGACCCTGTCTGCCTTCCATGTAATTGCCTGTAGGGCAGAGGCCAGGTCACCAACTCACATTTCTCAGATGCTCTCAATGTAAAGGTGAAGTGCTCAGAGAGAATGCTTCCTAAAGGAATTAGAAGAGGTCTTTCCACATTTCTAATTTGGAATAAATATAGTAACTTTATTTGCTTCTTGAGAGAAAGCTTCAGTCTTGGTTCCACGTTTCTATGATTGACACTACTATATTACTCTTACTACTAACAACAATAATAAGAGTTGTTATTATTAAATTCCAAGAATAGCATTTGTAATTATCTTGTGAATTTTTGTTTTCTTAGGAAGAAGGAATAAGTAAAAAGTTGCTTGGCAGGGCGCCTGGGTGGCTCAGTGGGTTAAGCCTCTGCCTTTGGCTCAGGTCATGATCTCAGGGTCCTGGGATGGAGCCCCACATCGGGCTCTCTGCTCAGCAGGGAGCCTGCTTCCTCCTCTCTCTCTGCCTGCCTCTCTGCCTACTTGTAATCTCCTCTGTCAAATAAATAAATAAAATCTTAAAAAAAAAAGTTGCTTGGCTTTTCAAGGCAAAAAAAGGTTAAAAAGTAGTAAGAAAGTAGATAAGACACTTGCATTTGTTGCAATTTAACAAATAATAAAGTGCAGTTTATGGTAATAGACTTTCCACAACACCTCTTCCCAGGCTCTTTCATAAAAAGAGAGAGAGGAGAGAGGGAGAGAGAGAGAAAGGAAGGAAGGGAGGAAGGAAGGAAGGGAAGGAGGAAGGAAGGAAGGAAAGGAGGAAAAGGGGAAGGAGGGAAGGAAGGAAGGAAATTCTTATTATTTACAGCTAAGATTCAAATTACATCACCCCAGCACAGCAAAACCTCTTTTGAAATAGCTGCCTCTCTATAGGATACACACCACAGTCTTGCTAAGAATGCAGAAATTCAGAAGTTTAAAACTTATTGGGAACTTCACAGACAAACCAGAGAAAAGAAATAGAGCAGATTTGCATCCTTTCTTTCTATTACATCATGCCATCAGGAATATCATCTATAATAATTTCCTTCAGGCAATCTCATTCCTAGTTTCCACAGTTTTTTTTTTTTATTTTATTTTCAAGGGAACAAAACAGACCCACACTTTCTTTACCTAACTCTAGCCTGAAGAATCTACTGAATTCTATTGATTTTTCTCTCTTTGAACACAAGCTCATTAACCTGAAACACTAAGGGGATAACTATATTTCACTGAGCCTATAACTGAGTGTCTGAAAACAAAAAGATCCCAAGACAGTGATACAGCCCTCTCCCTAGGTAGGATTTTTTCCCCCCTGCAAATTTAGCTGCAGAAGCTTTGACATCGATTCCATAACCCTAAAGACTTTCACATCAGTTAGAAGAAGCTTTCTTTAAATTCATCCTTTATTGTAATGGTTAGCAAAATCAAGATCCCTGTCTTTGCAACAACTTCTACGTTCTTACAAGCTGCAAGGCGTGGATAAATGTTAGCCTCAAACCAGCAGTGCTGCTGCGCCTGCAAGCTCCTCTGCCTCCTCCCAGCTACAGGATCTAGGGCTCCACCAAGGAGCTATCTTGGATATATGGAAATGAGTCCCCTCCGGGGACTTCTTCCAGAAGGAAAAAGCGATCAGGGAAAAATTAGACAACACAGACATCAGAAGCAGCCCGTTAAACAAGTCTCTTCAAGAAGCCCCACGAGTGGGGCTACATTTCTTTTATCTTCCTAATCCAAGAGAAGGAGAGTTGTGACCCCACTCAAATAAATAAATAAATAAACAAACAGACAAACAAACAGCAGCTCTTCTACCCAAGGAACCAATATAATAATTTTGTGATCTTGACTTTTGAGATCTCATTTGAGATCAAATGATCTGTACCCTTCCATTCAAGGCAACAAACATTTTCAAACTGTTTTTTAATTTGATTTATCCTTTGAAACAGAAAGTGCATTACATTTAACTGGTCTTGCAGGGGGGGGGGGGGTCTCTTTACAAACCGAATTCCTTATATAAATTAATAAAGGTTAAAGTTGCTAATATATCACCATTATTAGCTTAAAAAAGAAAACAATATACATAGTCTATAGTATTCTTATGATACAAAACACTTCAAATTCAATTACAGCAACTAAATGGATTTTTATGTTTCTGACCCAGAGCAGTTGTAATAATTCCCACCATCTACTTTAACACGCATTTTTATCAGAAAGGAATTAAATTAAATACAAGCTATTGTAGCCCCTCCATCCCCCATACTTTCTTTAAATCACTAATAAATAGCAACAAACGACTGTGCAATTTCAGAGAGGAACGGAGAGGCGGGTCTGAGGCCTTCCCTGGTTCCACATCTTCTACTTCAAGTCCTGGAGGCGGGAGCGGGGCGTGGAGCCAGGGGGTGGTCAGGGACGAGCAACGAGGGACAAAGGGAAAAGTGAGACTGAACAAATCCAAACCGGGAGAGGAGTGGGGGGTGGAGAACATTCTTGTCTCGCATCTCAAATTAAGTTCAAAATAAAAGGGAGACGTAGGGTTTGAGTAGCTTTTAAAAGAGGGCAGGGTGAAGGAAGGAGGGCCATCTTCTTATACCAAATTCAAAAAAGCATTTTACATTTTAAATATTCACAATAAAGTAACTTCTAGTCAGTGTGACTCACGATTTATTTACAAAGAGCCTTCAACAGGTTGCTTTAGTCGGCACAGCAGTTTGTGGGGGGAGAAGCCTCCCTCTCTCCTCCCATCTGTGGCGGTCGCCCGCCCGCGAGGCTCTGAGGTCCCTGCGGCGGGTGCGGAGCCTTCAAGAACACCTCTCCGCGCCCCGCCCCAGCCGGCCGCTGGGGGCCCGGCTGGAAGGGGCGGTGCGGGGACTCCCGCAGCTCCCGCCGGGGGGACGGGTCTAGGGGACCAAGCGGGTCTGCGAGAGTGGCCCAGCCGCGAGTTTCAGTTGCCTTATCTATGCAGTGATGTTCGACGTCTTTTCTGCCTTCTGATCAACCCCCGAGTCTCTCTCTCTTTCTCGCTCTCCCCCGCCCCCCTCAACTTCCAGGTTAAAAAAATAGATATGTACATCTCAGAAAATAGCAAAGGGCCCCGGCGGGCGGGGCGGGGTCCTCCGAGCCCCAAGGGGCGGGCAGGCGGGGTGCGCGCTGTCCCCGGGGCTGAGGCCGGAGGCCCGGCAGGCGCCGGTGGAGGCGGGGGTTGGGGTGGGGGGGCGGCCGGCGCTCAGGACGAGCTCTCGTTCTCCGACGCGTGCAGCAGGAGGCCGCCGCCGCCGCCGCCGCTCGACTTGTGCTTCTTCAGCAGCTGCGTGATCTTCTCGTCGTCCGAGTTGGGGTCCAGAGGCTTGTTGTAGTCGTCGTCCTCCTCCTCGTTCTCCGAGGTGCCCTTGAGCCTCTCGGTCTCCGAATCCTGCTTCTTCTTGGCCGTGGCCATCTCGGCCGCGTGCTTCTTCCTCCACTTGGTCCGGCGGTTCTGGAACCAGACCTGGGGGCCAGGAGAGGGGAGGAGAGGGGAACCGGGGGCGGGAGGACAGGAATTGAAGGCGAGCGGATTCAGGCAAGGCTGCCTTCCCCAGATCCCCAGGTCGCTCCAGCGGGCGGGCCCCTGACGGCCTGCCACCCTCCCTCAGAGACCTCCCTTGTTCCGGCCGTCAAAGTCAGTCTCCAACGCCCCAGCTTCCTCCGAGCATCGGGCACCGACGGAGTGACCGCCGTTACCATAGCGATAGTAATACAAGTGTATAGACGTTGTCAGTGAGCTGTCTCCGAAGAGAAAAAACTTGGAAACTTAAAGTTTCCCTAAAAATGAGTCCGCTTTCCTACTTTGTAGTTTGAAGGAGAAAACTTCTTACCTTCCTAAGTTTGCCTCATAAAGACTTTGTGATTTTATTTGTTGTTTACTTTCTTAGACTAAGACTTGCAAACAACTTAAAGTGTGCTTGCTTTTTAGTGTGATTTGTGGGAGAAAGCACCGCATTTGCCCCAATTACTTCTGTTCTCCTTTTCATTTTTGGATATTTGTCTGTTTCTCAGATCTCAAGTCTGAATCCACACAAACATGGTAGGTAAACACTCCCCTTCCCGTTTACACTTGTAATGTACCATGTAAAGTTAAAAAAAAGAAAAAGAAAAAGATTTGCTAAAACAGAAACCTCAAATCACTAATAATAATAAACATAAATGCTTGAAAATATTGAATAGGTTAGCTAAAACCAGTAGTTTGTGTGTGAGTCTTTCTCTATGGTTTTTCATAAAACCAAAAATCAAGCTGGAATTTTCATTAGTTATTTTTTAAAGTGAAATTTGGCTTATTACATTATTTTCCACTGTTAGCATGCCTAGTCTTTCAAATATTATTTTAACATTGTTCTTCTCCAAGACATTTTATATAACAAATATTTTAAGCTATTCATGATGTGTGACACCATGTTTGATATACATAATTTAACCTAAAGCATCAGCAATAAGCAACCAATTTCCAAAAGATACTATCCTCTTTTTATGTTTCTCATCCATTTTCTCATCCATTATGTATTTTATCTAGAGAATCAGAATTGTTAAGAAAGTGGTTTTTATTTTCCTTATACAGCTATAATAATTCACTTCTAGCCACACAGACATATTTACGGTGACAAATGAAGACTTCCAGATTACTGTGGTAGGCTCTGTACCAACCATTGCAAAAATAATTTTAACTGTGATGGTATTCTAATGGTCACGTACAAAATCACCCCTGAAATGCATTTTATGATGCTTGCCCCAAGGGAAATACACTCTAACCAGCAGACGTGGCTAACAGTTATTCCCACTTAATTTAAGGAGCAACAAGATTACTAATGAAAACAGACGTATATTCCTTCCCCTCCAAAAATACCAAATATAATAAATTGAAGAAGGTACACAAAAGAGAATACTGGAAATATAGGAAACCACTAGATTTAATTTACCTACTCGTTCAATCCTTTTATTTTTCAGGAAAAGATTTCTCAAATTTGATTCCCTGGAAATATACTGTACAACTCAATTATAAGCTAAGTGACATTTTAATTATAAATTGTTGTCACAAACAGTAAAATAGTATACATCCGTTGATAGAATTCTTTCATAATACAATAATACTCTTGTCAATTCATTTGGAAAATTACTATTCCAAAGTTATAATCCTCAACTAAACTAAAACCAGACTCACCCCTGCTAAACGGCTGGATCCTGTGCATTTTTTTTTAAACCGGCAAGTTAATATAGTAGCACTATAAGGCTGATCTACATCAGAAAATGATATGACTAGCAGAGCTTGAATTGACAATCAAAAGCTTGAATATCCTTACAAACAGAGTACATAGAAGCTATCTAACTGGCGTGATCTATTCTAAGGGCTGATATTTCGGTCATGCTTTTATTCTCCAATAATGGCGAGTTCCCCCAGCACATGCTGCTATCTAGATTAACCTAATTTCAAAGGCGGGGGCTTGATTCCTTTTGTTCATCAACAGTTTGCCCGCCTCGAGACCCCAGGGCCTTTGTAACCCCCACTCCCACCCCTTTCGCTGATTTCATCTTCTCCCCAGGCTCCTCAGATCCGCACCCCCCAAGCGGCTGTTTGTTAGAGGGGTGTGTACGCGCGCGCGCGCGTGTGTGTGTGTGTGTGTGTGTGTCCGCGCGTGCGCCCGAGTTGGGGATTAGGAGACCATCCCTCGAGGTTTGTAAGGTCTACTACTCACCTTGACCTGACTCTCCGTCATCCCCAGCGAATAGGCCAAGCGAGCCCTCTCGGGCCCCGCCAAGTATTTCGTTTGTTCGAAAGTCTTCTCCAGAGCGAAGATCTGCTGGCCAGAAAACGTGGGTCTCGTGTGTTTTCTCTTCCCGTCTTTGTCCAGCAAAATGGATCCTTGATCTGCGAGAACAGATAAGCAAGGGAAGGAGAAAAACAATCGGTTACAAGCGGCTCCACTGAGAACAACTCAAAACACGAAGTTTTTTTGGAAAGCTTATTCCGCGGCAGACGTCAGAAGTGTCCCGCGCTTCCAGTCCCACCGCGCGCCTCCCTTTGCCTTTTTACGCCCACCTGTTTTAAAAAGCCGGGTTTGTTTGGAGCAGCAGTAAATAACCTGCCGAACAGAGACGTCAAACAGTGAGGGAGCGCATTGCTGAAGTTTGCCGGAGCCGAAATCACCAGGCCCCAGTAAATTGAAGAATGCGGGTAAAGGCCCGTCTAGTCTCCCAGTCCAGTCAGTGCTCGCTCAGCCCCGGAGACTTGGCTTGAGGATGACTAGTTTTGTTTTGTTTTATTTTATTTTGTTTTGTTTCTTTCTTTCTTTCTTTCTTTCTTTCTTTCTTTCTTTCTTTCTTTCTTTCTTTTTCCCTTGAGCGCCTTCCTAACCTGTGCCCGCACAACAAAGGGCGCCTTGTTTTTTGCACACAAGAGAGCTAAATCGCCCCCAAGCCAAACGCCGCTGCGGCCGAGGGGGAGGAGGTACCGCCTTTGTTGGCGGTCCCTACAAGGCCATCAAAACGAATACAATAGCGTCTCCCCGACACCCGCACCAGCCCGGCAGCCCTCCATTCCCTAGGGAGCCTCTACTTGGCTCCCGCAACTTCCCTTAGTTAACTGCCGCTCAGCCACACGAAAGAGGTCTGGAGAATTAATGTAAACTTGGGGGACTGAGTCAAGACGAGAGACCGGAGCAAGAGAAAAACCTAGGCTGGGCCTCGAACTACACCTGGAAGACTAGGAGCCTCCTCAGCGGTGGCCAACTACCCAGAAGATTGGACTGATCTCGGGGCAACACAGTTAGTTGGTTTCAAGCAAGATCTTGGTGGGATGTGTGTATTCCCCAGTGCTGCCGCCACCTCGTTCTGTCTCTGGTTCATTTTCATGTTAGGATGTTGAGGGCCACGATGCCTCTCAAAATTCCCAGGCCCAAGATGTCCCGGCCCTTCTCCACCCCCACCCCACCTTTCCAGGGCCGAGGCAGGTGGGAAAGTGAGAGTCCAGCAGAGGGGAGTGGCCCCAAGTGATTGAGCTCGCTACTGCGGCTGCCGCGGACCTGTCTTCAATGAGCTCACCCGGCCCGACTGTACTGGGGTGGGGGTGGGGGAGCTCCTCGAAGGCGAAGAGGTTAGGTAGGGACACCCTGGGCCGAGATGTACATGCAAGTACACGCACTCCAGCCGGGGCCGTGGAGGTCTTGCCGCTGTGGTCCCCCGCCTATTCGCAGAGAGGCCAGTTCGGCTGGCGTAGGTGGAGTGGGGCCCTGGCAGACAGGCGGGAGCCAGGAAAGAGGGGATGTAGCCCGGGCTCAATATCCTCTCCCGCCCTTCCCACCTCTTAAACCCAAGCAGGGCCTGAGGTTGCCGTCAGGCTGTTCCAAAGTAGCTGGGGCCTCGGGTGAGACACACGCCTAGCACCGCGTTTCCAACACGGACTCATGCACACCCGCTCCTCGAGGCGTGCCCAAGACTTGGGACGGGGGGGGGGGGGCACTTGGAAGCGAGCTCAGGGAAGTCAGAGTCCCTCAATGAATGCCCTGGCAGAGCCCAAATCGTGCGATTCTGGCGCTGCCAAACTACTGGGGAGCCAAGAGGGTGCACGGATCCCCATGCATATCAGAAGACGTGACCCGAGAGCGGGTAGAACGCGCACAACTGTACTCAGGAGATCGTACTCACGAGGGGTGCAGGCCAGGCGGGCGTCCCTCCAGGGTGGGCTCTGCATAACTCCTGGCCAGAAAATGGGCGTCCGGCCGGGCAGCTCGGCCAGCGGCTTGGGGTACCGACCTACCGCGGCCACGGCCGCTGCGCTGGGGCTGAAGTAGAGCCCAGGCGGCGGCGGCGGCGGACTCAGGCTGCTGAAGCGGGGCAGGCCAGCCAGCAGCCCCGCTGGGGATGAGGCGGCGGCTGCAGCGGCTGCAGCCGCCGCTGCAGCTGCCGAAGCGGAGGAAGCGGAGGTGGACGAGGAGGAGGAGGAGGAGGAGGAACCCGAGGGCGAGGCGGAGGGCAGGGCGGCCCCTGAGGCCACGGGCATGGAGGGCCGGCTCAGGATGTCGTTGATGCCGTGGGGGGTGGCGGCCGAGAGCTGCTGTGGGGGGCTGCCCAGGGATGAGAGCCCCCCCGCGGTCGGGGGCTTCAGGCTGCCTGGGTTGTGGGCACCCAAAGGCGGAGAGGGCGACGACGAGGAGGACGAGGAGGAGGAAGAAGAGGGGGGGCCGGCGGGCAATGGGGGGTACGCCGCGGGGTACAGAGGGGTCTTCATTTCGGCCATGCTGTGCAGGGCAGCCAGGGGAGGGCTGCTGAGCAGGAACGCGCTCTGCCGGGTGCCCTCCATCGCCCCCACCGCTAACATCCCACGGCCAGGCCGGAGCCCGCAGCCACTCAACGAGGGCGCCGGCGGGTGCCCCGGTGGGGCTCAGGAAAGCGAGGAGTGCCGAGGGCGCGAGAGAAGAGTAGCTCCGCGCTCCCAGAGGCGACCTGCCAACTGGGCCGAGAACGCCGCCGCCGAGAGTTGCTCTCGAAGCTGCGCAGCAGAAATGTCCAAACACGCCACTGGAGAGGCGGTGGCTCGCCGAGATCAGCGGGCGTCCGGGCGAGTTTGGCTGTCCTTTCGCTCCTAGAGTCGTGGACTCAGTCTTGGTCTCTTCTCTCTTTACTTTTCCTCGCCTCTCAATGATCTCTACTTCTCATCTTCTCCCCGGGAGAAATAAGCAAAGCAAAACCCAGGCCGGCCCCAGAGTTTGCAACAAAGTTAAGAGTCACCGAATCTCCACTTCGATGTTGGAGTAGGGGGACTGGCTCGCTTTCTTTGGGGGTGGTTCAAAGGACTCCAGGTTCCGCCGGACGCACTCCTCTAATCTTATTTGACTGCCCTGTTATTTGGCCGCGAGGCTGATTCGCACTCGGCGCTCGCTCTTGCAGGGAGAGAGCGCATCCAGCCCGCAGGAGGATCTCGCCTCTGGGAGGGCTTCCTCCGCTGACTCTGCCCGGGGCTGGGGCGCCAGAAAGGGCAGTGCCACCAATCCCCGCCGTTCCCGGAATCGGCGCGCCAACCCGTCTTCCCCTCTGGGCCACGGGGCACTAGAGTTGCAATATTGAAAAGAAAAAAGGGTGAGGGAAAAAAAAGAAAAAGAAAGAAAGAAAGACAGAAAAACAAAGACTTAAGTGTGAAAAGTCTGATGGCTTCGGCTACGGCTCCGTTCGTCTGTCCACTTCTGCAAACTGGCCTGGCGACCCCCGCCCCACCCCCGCAGCAACCTCTCTTCTTCTCACTCTCCGCCTTTGCCTCTCCTCTCTCGCATTTTCTTCGCGGCTTTACAGGCTCGTTCTTCTAAGTCCTGTCCTCTGGCCAAGCTGACCCTCTCCGGCTCTTCCACTCCCTCTCTCTCCTCTCCTCCCTCCGGGCCTGACAGTTCAGATGAAGCTCTCAAAGGTAATAAAACATTTGCATCACTCCCTACCCCTCTTTAGCTGGGGGACGAAAAGGAGGGGGAAGTGGGGGTCCAAAATGAGAACTTTGAGAGACGTCACTCGGAGGCGGCCGGGGGGGCGGGGCCGAGGAGCCGGGTGCAGGCCAGGGGCGTAACCACTGTCTCCAATTGCGCGCAGTCTCGGGACTCGCGTCGCCTCTGGGGCACGCCCACTCCGGAGCGCCGCACCCTCTGATTGGCTGAGCCGGGCGAGCCGTAGGGCCGCGCCCGCTTGGTTCCCGCCTCCTCCCTCTTCCATCCCTTCTGTGGGTGGGGTCAGGGGGTGGGGCCTGGAGAGTGGTGCGGTTCCGCCTTGGGGCCAGTGGACGCCTCAATTAATTGTGTTAAGTAAAATGGAAAAGTGGAGGGGGGAAGCAGAGACGGAGAGGGTATTACTTTTTAAAGAGAAGAATAATGAAAACCCAGACCTTTTATGGAAAAGCAGTTCATATTCTTCCCTCGCCTCCCCGCTCGCCTGCTCGCGTCACCCTATCCACCCCTTTCGCCTACCAGCTCGAGACGCCTCACCTCGAACAGACTGGTCCCTTGTAAAATGGAGCTAATGGAGCGGGCAGCCGGCGCAGCCCCGGCCTAGCTCCTTCTTTTGAAGGGATTAATTAAAGGCCATCTGGGCTCTCCCAGAATTGTGTAAATTAATTTGTTGCTCCTTAAGCCTATAGATGCCCTTAATCCCCTAGTAGGCCCAAGGATCGTCCTCTTCCATTTTTGCCACCTCCCTCTTTCCCTCTTTGTTCGTTCTTCGTTACTTTTCTTTTCATTCCTAGGTTTCTCCGCAATGCTATCATTTATAGGATCACTCGATACTCAGAGAACAGAATCAGTTTAATGGGAGTATATTTGTTTTTCAGGTGATGTTTAGACCTGAGAGGAGTGAACTCTTCTTTTTTCCCCCTAACTTTTCTTTCCTTTGATTATTGTCGTTATTTGTTCTGAGTTTACACTGGAGCAGAACCACCAAAAGGAAAATCTATATAAAGAAGTATCGGGTACCCCTCTCCCCCCATTATACTGTAAGTTTTTGAAAACTGTCTCCAAAACTCTGGTCCTTTTCCCTGAACACCAGAGTTGTTTTGAGAGATGGAGATGTCCAGGTTTCTGGGCTGTGTTGATGGGATGTCTAAGATTTAGGAGTTGGGAGAGTGATTTCCTTTATTCCCTTTCTATCTTCCAACCCTGCTCCCTTGTAAAAGGATCTTGAAATTGCTAGCAGGGTTGAGCTGTGCAAATGAGGAAGACCTTTGCACAGTTTTGAGATTTCAGGATGTTGAAGTAACACACCAGTGAGGGGTACTCACTAGAGCAATTTGGATGAGATCATTAAGTCCAAACTTAATTCTTAGAAATAAATCGCTCAAGAATAAAGTCTGGGCGGCACCATCCTGATGGAGTTTGACTGCGAGTGCCAAAGCACTCATACGGGTCCAAGTACCAAAAGCCAGGAGGGCTTATTCTGCTTTGATAGCCCTCGTTTCTAAAGCTTTGGTCTTTTTAAGGTGTCAGCTAGAGCTTGAGTTTGTTTTTTTTTTAATGTCTTTTTTACCCTTCACCACTTTTATCATTCATTTCTGAGATAAAAGTAATTTTGTTTTTATTTGGTCCCCCTCTTCCCTCTCCAGCATCCTGCATTAACTTGGAGACTGGGTTAAATCAATCACTTCTCAGACATTAGACTCTGACCAGAAGGAAGGTGAATTCCTGCCTCCACGTGAATTATGCTGAGTCTGGCAAGAAAAGAGTTCATGCGGGGACCATCTGCATTTTCCTATGAGGGAGGATGCTCTGCTAGGCTATGGGTCTAAACCCCAGCACCTTGACATTCTGGCCAAAAGACTGCGATGGAAGGAGGAGGTGGGGAGCCCAACCGGGCGGAGTTACTGGGGCCCCTCTGCCTCTCCCTTCGTTACAAACGAAACTTTTCCCTACGTCGCAGACTCTCACTTGACAGTGGCACACAATCTACCTCCTGAACCCCGCTCCTGGGCCACCAGCGACCTCCTCACATTCCCCCTGTACACCGCATTCTCAAGACTAGGTAGGAATGGCGGGGGGGAGGAGGCCAGTGATCCCCAAAAATTCCAGTTTCCAAAAACGATCCCCCCTTTATTTCATGTAAATATTGTGACCCGAGAAAGAATTGGATATTCTCCTTTTGTAAATTTAGTATCTGATATGGGGAGAAGTGAAGTAAAGAGACAGAGAAATAAGAGAGAGACATTCAACTCCATCCAGTCAACACTGGCTTAACTGACATTGGTAAATAGTTGCAAAGCTGGGTGCAAGTAATCTCCATCGTTTGCTTTTATTTATCATTCACATCGAGGAATTAAAATACCAGCATTTTGTTCTTGTGACAATAAAACAATTCTGGGGTCTGTGTACCTCGATCCGGGGGGTGAACCATGGGTGCCTGAATCCCGCGTGGGGCAGTTTGTATTCCAGATACACACTGCGCTGCGCTGAAGGAAGGTGGGTGCCTCCTGGCTGCCTGGTGCTTGTTGTCATCGATCTGCTCCGTCTGTCTCCAGCTGGGAGCGGGAAGAGCCAGGGGCGTCTTGAGGGGGTGGGGGGTGGGCTGCTCCTGTCACTCGCGGGGAGAGATGGCCCTACCCCCGCAGAACTTTTACCACCTTAGGGGCAGAGTCTCGGAAGAACAGATCCCGATGCTGACCAGGGAGGCCCGTTTCTGGTCGGGGCCGTCCTGCACGCAGCTTACAGACGCCCTAGAGAGTACGGACTTTCCCTTAGGGAATCCCCAGGACCAGCACGTTTTTCTGCCCACGACCTAATAAAGTCGGACTTTGCTAAGTCCGACTAAGAGTATACTCTAGGGGTAGAACGTGTAACACGTGGTTGCGACACCCCCCTCGCATCTCTGCAATAATATATATTTGGGGGAGGGGGCTGTGTTTGAAAGCGAACGATTTGCATTTTAATTGAAAAATAAATGAAAGAGTGTTGGCAAATTCTGAGGTTGAAAAAAAAAAAAAAAGCTAAAATGATAGGGATGAGGAAAGCTACACACCTCCCTTGACTTTCTCGAGCCCGTGAACAACCGAAGCAGTTTTCAAGTTTACTGTTGTGAGCCTGCTGCTACTGTTAACACAGCCTGCGCGATCCCCTTGACCACCCCACCGGCCTTCTAACCCTTGACTCAGAAACACTTGGCGCGTTTGGATACTAATGCTTTAAGTTGAAGGAACGGCCACTAAATTCAGGGTAACTCGCAGAAGGAATGCAAATGAAAGCTCAGCTACGTGTACTTAAATGCAGCAGTCGGGGATGAATGGTAACTATTCTTCCCCAAATATATGAACGTCCAATGTGGGGATACTCAGTCGTAGCCGGGAGAAGTGTGTTCTGCGCTCGCAAAAGGCGGGGAACACGGGCGGGGGGGGGGGGGGTATGAATGGAATTAGGTGTGTGTTTCAGGCTAAAAACCTCTCTGAAATGTGTTTGCTTGACTTGCTTAGAAGACTTCTTTAATGATTCCACTTCGCCAGCGAGTGGGGCCTGTGCGGGCTGAACCCGGAGGCTGGCTGGGTTTACGTTAGTGTTGTAAGAGGGGTCGAGCCGGCACAAGGGAGAAAGAAGAAATATCCACAAGCTTGAAACAAGTCAGTCTCCGAGAAGGAGAGCAGAGGAAATGGGATGCTTTTCTGTCTGTCCGTCTCTTTGCCTCCTGCAAATGCTCTGAAGGGGAACTGCACCCGTGGCTGCTTCTGCTGATCAGCAATTAAGGAGATGGATTTGGGAAGTACTGGAGTACTGGAGTCAACAAAGGTCCGGTGACCAAGAGTGTTGTAGGGTCTTGTGGTCCGCGATCTCCCAACAAGGCCAACAAAATATGTGAGGGAAGCGACTG